TAGATCTTGACTATAATTTCATCCAAACTTCAATCAATAAGCAATTAATAAGCATACAAATTTTTTTAAAAATCAAATTTACCAATTATAAGAAAAGCTTCCAAAACCTCTCGGTCATTGGCTACCCTCCTTCTTTGACTTAAATGTTGTTCTTTCGACACCAATTTCTCCTTATTGAATTATTTAATTACTTCAAAAATTAGATTGTGTAAAGATATTTAAGTCTTAATTCTTCTCACCAAATTTTTCTTGAATCTAATTAGCAAATATTATTAGATCTAATAATCATTCATTAATACTAAATTTCAAATTTTTGAGACCTTAATCTACAAAAACCATCATATGCTTCAATCTAACTGCTCAATTGACCTCAAATTTTTCATACATATGTACAAAAAGTACAACAAAAAAAATTCTAATTTTTATCCATTCACATTATAAAAAACTCAAGAAATCCTCAAATTTAAAAACATATTTTTATTTCTCAAAATCTAAATCTACTAAGTATATTATTGACTTTGAAAATCTCTCAAAATCTCAATATTGATCCAAATTATATGAATTAATACTTAAAAATATTTCTTCAAGTTTTTTTTTTCTAATCATACTCTTTAATTTTCAAAAGAATCCTAGAACTGCCGTAGGTACTTGATTTTATACCTTGGGATTTGATTTCGACCTTGGTTGGTAACTAGTCTTCTTTAGATATCAATTCTTATCTTCTTGAGGTGATTTTTGCTAAAAATCAATTTCTAATTCCCTCTTACATACAATTATATTCTTTTTTTATCTACCTTATTTTATCTCATTTATGGCTCTACAAAATAAATAGAATCCATTTTTATAAAAAATAATTCTAATACTAATAGATTTTATTACTTACTTATTATTTATCTATGTTTTTTTACTATATATTTTTAATTAGGATATTTTATAATAAAATACTTTTCTTCTTCTTTCACCTAATTGCTATATTACTATACAACAATGTCTTAATGATGCACTCAAATTGCTCTTGCTGCAATAGGTAAAGAAAATTTCTTTTTTACTACTCTTGCTACCTACTTCTTTGACTAGTCTCCTACAAATCTCCATAACTATAGATTTTTTCAACAATATCAGTGTCTGATATAAGACATGTATGCAAGTAAGCTACAACTTTTCAATTGAGGCTCTCTTAGCAATTGTGAGTTTAGACAAGAAAGCTAGAGTCACTTAATATAAAAGAAAATTTTGTTAACAATGATGATGTCAAAGACATGAAAACAATGGAATGGGGTTGTAGAATACTTGAGACTTGAGTACAAGATGGCTCTCACTCCATGCCTCCTTGGTCACTCTTCTACAAATCCTAATAACTATGTATTTTTTCAAGAACATCTATACTTAATTGTAGGCATGGTCACATGTTAGCTGTATTTTCCGATTGAGGCTCTTTTTGCAAGTTGAGACAATAAAGCAGAAGCTGCCTAATGTATAAAAAATAGTTGTTGATGTGGATAATTTTGATGCCATGAAAACAACATGATTGAGAATATCATGAGTAAATTTAATGTGCATGCTTATACTATAGTCTCCATAGTATGGCAATATCATTCTTAAAAATCTAATAATTAAATGCATCTTCTCTTATATGTTTTCTAAGATCATAAGGTCTTATCAATAATTTCATATATGTATATTTATAATAATAATTTTATTTTAATTTTAAATTTTCATCATATAAACTTGTATTTAATAAAAATATATTTAGAATATTTTTCTAATAAGTTTTTAATTTTATCCTAATTTATTTTATTCCAAATAAAAATATAAACTTTTGTTATAATGAGCTTTTATATGCAAAAAGTAAAAATATTTAGTTGGCCCTCTAATGCTTGATTGGAAGTTTTATATTAATTAATAAAATTTAAAACACTCACACATGTATATATGCCAAAAAAATATCACTGTGAAGTTTTAGTTAAAAAATTAAAAAAAAAATTAAAAAATAAAATCATCAACTTTAAAGTTAAATTAAATCATTATATTTTATATAAATAATTTTAAAAATATAATGTTTTTAAATATTATTTTATATGTGAAATGTTTTCTTTAGGATTGAATAAGTTTTTGAAAAATCTAAGTTTTGAATTTTAATTTTTGTACCTTTTTCAAAATAATCTTAAATTATTTCACAAGATATAAATAATTCTATATATTTCTTTAAAATATATTTTCTACTTTTTCTATGAAAATTAGAAAACAAATCTGTACTCATTTAAATTGTATGTGAATAAAAAAATATATAATTATTTTTTATAGAATTAATAGATATTTTTTAATTCTTGTTAATTGAAGATTAAAAAACTTATGAACACTTTGACCATTAAGACATATTATTATTTATTTTCAAATTTTATCTTTAAAAGAATAAAAAAACTAATATTTTAGTTAAGCTATTATTTACATATATATGTATATATGCCCTAGGATCCTTGTTTTGTGATAAGAAAAATAAAGTAGAAGCATTCAGAGGAAGTAAAACATTACCTAATTTTTAGAAGTAGAAAAATTAAACACACCATCAATCCTTATTGTTGAAAATTTTAAAGAAATATATTTGCATAGACCATTTCATTGAAACATCCACATGTTCACACCATCTCACAATTGAATATGTACACCATGATAATAGATGGACAAATATAATGTCTACCATTATAAAATATGGGAATTGCTAGTTGGATATTCACCTTTTTGTCACTGGACACTCTTTGCCATGTAACCTTGCATACATATACTAAAACATGTATCTACATTAAAAAAATTTAGAATAAATTTATGATAAAAGATTTGTTTACAATAATTTATAACATCTTATTTATTTATTTGATTATGTTTAACACAAATTCATTACATATTTCATGAATTTTTTTTATTTACTTAAAAAGAAACATTAATTTTATTTAGGGGATCTTTAGTGTAATTTAATTCTAATTCTTTTTAATGCAAAAGTTTTATGGTGTCTATGTAAGGGTGTGTGGCACAAGGGATGTCTACACAATAAAAAGGAGGTGTCCACGTACCAGTTGCTTGATATATATATATATATATATATATATGTATATTTATTTATACCATATATATATATATATATATATATATATATATATATATGTATTTATTTATACCATATATATATATATATATATATATATATATATGTATATTTATTTATACCATATATATATGTATATTTATTTATACCTTATATATATATATATATATATATATATATATATATATATATATATATATATATATATATATATATTTATTTATACCATATATATATATATGTATATTTATTTATACCATATATATATATATATATATATATATATATGTATATTTATTTATACCATATATATATATATATATATATATATATATATATATATATATATATATATGTATATTTATTTATACCATATATATATGTATATATATTTATACCATATATATATGTATATTTATTTATACCATATATATATGTATATTTATTTATACCATATATTTATGTATATTTATTTATACCATATATATATGTATATTTATTTATACCATATATATATGTATATTTATTTATACCATATATATATGTATATTTATTTATACCATATATATATATGTATATTTATTTATACCATATATATATATGTATATTTATTTATACCATATATATATATGTATATTTATTTATACCATATATATGTATATTTATTTATACCATATATATGTATATTTATTTATACCATATATATATTTATTTATTTATTTATAACATATATATTTATAAAAATTATATAAATTTTTGGAAAAGTTAAATTATATTGCATATGTAAAGAACAACAAAATCATAATTTATCAATATTAAAGGCTTTACACAATGAAATTATTTGATGGACGACAAAATTACCATAAAAAGAAAATGATCATTTGGTCTGCACAGTGTTATATTATTTCTTTGCTCTGAATTATATCAGTTTATATTAAATTCATTTTTTTACATGTATTGGTATGGTATTAATAAATGTATCTCAATTGTGTTATTTCGACCCACTTAATATTGCTGTGCCTTTATTCAATTCAATGAAGTTTGAACAATATTCACATTGACTCTGATTATGTAGTTTTTAAACTTAAAAATAACAATACATCAAACTTTCTAAAATTGCAATCAATAAATAATATTAAAAGTTTTTTCTTGTTTCTATCCTTCTAACAAATGTAATATGTTATTAAACTAAATCAATCATTATGGTTGCCAAGAAGAACTTTATATATTTATATATATATATATATATATATATTTATACTGGAAAAATTACTTGCATCAGATCTGAGGAGTATTATGATTAGTTAGACCTACTTTATTTTATTTTTTAAATCTGAAATTAAAAAAATCAAAGATGAATATTGTTTTGGCTGGAACATCAACAAATAGATTGATGGTTAACTGCATAATGACTTAGTTTGACATTCAAACATGTTACTTGTAAAGAATTAAAAGAAATCTGAATTTTACTTATTGGATCCAATAAACATTGAGAGAATAAATTTCAAAAGTCACTTTAAGTTCCCAGCCTCCCTAAGCATTACATGTGACATACTCTAATACATCGAAAACTACTGAAACCAGTAAATTTGTAAGTTTGGTATTATTGAGGAAATTCCCCACTATTCAGCAATCAACAATCTTTTGCGCTTCTACTTCAGCATGCATCATTTGCACAGGAGTATTGAGATGTCATATCAATCTGCTGTACACCTTTCGTACATTTGTTTCTACAACTTTGTGAGTGGTTGCTTGCAAATTTCACATCGCCAATAAATTAAAGTTTATTTTTTTCGTTTCCTGATGTAGTTTGTGTAGATAGTGCAAATATGTATTAGGAAAGGACATATATTAGACAAAGTATTGTAGACCAGCAGAATCAGCTTGATACAAAAAGGTAGAGCAGGAAATTCTGTACAGAGGTAGAGCTTGATTAGCCAAAAACTTATGACCAAAACATATGTTACAGTAGACCTCGGAGCTCAAAACTTAAGCCTGATAAGGAGCAGAAACTCCTGCTCATCATCCCACGCCTGAGATCTGAAGATGGCAGGCTGCATTACAATTTAGGGCACTGGGAACATGTTCAACCAGTTGGAAGAAGAGTTTCTACTCAGGAATCATGCTCAATGCTCTCATTCTTGAATGAACCAAGTTTCCAGGTGAAATCGGAGAAAATGTAAATATACCAGTACTACAATATCATCCTACCTGACTGCAGATCATTAAGGAACTTAATAGTGTAGTTCCGCCTTGTGGGTAGAGCGACAAAAATAGCCTTTTAGGCATCCAGATAGTCTCAAAACGCTGATGGAGAATTGCAACAGTCGAGTTCTTTGCAAGCCCCATGGTATGTGCACATTATCTACTGTCTGATCAGAAGCATTGATTAATCGTCTCTTCCTTTCTCGTCTCTGTAATGGCTCTCTCCACAGTGCCAGCGCCTCGTCGCAGTCACTAATAACCCAAGGATTATTCTCACCACTCAGTTGCGCCCTTGTTAAGACCAATAAATTCAAGCATGTTGCGCAAATATATTCTCAGACTTCGGCTTCCGTCATCAGATATGTCTCAAAAAATACACAGCTTAAGTGGACACGGACATTGCAATATTTATTGCAGGAAAGCAAAGGTCTGTAGACATGCGCAATGAAGAAATTTGTACAGGAGCAATAAAAACCAATACGTCCATCACAGTCCTTCCAGTCCATAGCTGCTTCAAATGCGGGAAAGATGGCTTCCACCTTTGCTCACATCCGTAATGACTTCACAAGCACAATGATTTGCCACATGTAAAGGTAACGTCACATCCTCCATTGATTGGCATGTATGAAGGGCAGCTCCGCAATAAACTTCCAGCACATACTATGTTACACAGGCATGAGCTTCAGAATGAATTCATCTCGAGAAGGTAAGTCCGTCGCTTCACGAGCAAGTTCGTCGCAGTCTTGAATGGCTCTTCAAAAGCACCTAATACAAAGTTCTCCGTCTCCTTGTGTGCAGGCTGCTCGCTCGGCCTGATAGCAACTAATGTCGCTCCTTTCAAACCAGTTCCTCCCGGAAGTTCCAAATATGGTGCATACCATAGCTTCATGTTCAGAGCAGGCACTTGAGTTCTATTTGATGAAGCAGAGGCTGCCAGAGGCTTGTCTCGAAATTCTCTCAATTGCTCTTTGTTCATACACAGCATCCCTTGTCCATCTGCATCCGTAAGAACAAGACTTTCCAGCGTCGGATGGTCTGATATGATCTGCTGAAGAAGATAGTGCCTTGCAGAAGCAGCAATGAGAGAGCTGATGGTCCACACAACCCTTACCTTGAGTCCCCCGTCAGTGTAGAAGGACTCAGGAATCGTACCACTTTCATCTGAGAGAGCGCTTGGGGTTTCGTTGTCTTCAGCTATAGCTTGAGATGTACCATCTTCTCTGCCATTTAGAAACCAAGGGCGAACTCCCTCTGATTTCGCTGATTTTTTTTCTTTCTCCACTTTCACGAGCGATGCAGCCCCGAGGATCACACAACTCTCCAGGGTACTTCCAAACTCAGCTCTCCACTTCAAAAGTACACCATCTTCGATCCCAAGTTCTCCTCCTGGTAACTCGATCCTCAGGTTCTGAATCTCCTTGAAGTTTTTCAAAACCTCGCTAGGAGAATGATCGGACACTTCCGCAAGAATAGTTTTCTTTGATCCCAAAAGGTGCTGTAAAGCCAGAAGAGGTTTCACAAAGGTTCCCACAACAAACCGCACAAAATGACTGATAATTCCTCTGCCCCTAGCGTTTAAGCCGTTGTCCTCTCCGGATATCACACAATCGACCTTCACCACAACGTTGTCAACCAAGGGCGCCAAAGAGTGGAACCTGCTCGACACCGCACAGCACCTTCCTAGAGCCTTGATGTCTGACACCTTGTTAAAGATCACGAGTAGCACCGAGTCAGGCAGTCTGTCAAAGTGGTCCATCGCGGGCATCGGCATTGAGACCCTACGGCAGTTCCTGCCGTGCTCTTTCGCTATCAACTGCTCTATATGCATATGGACAGCAACTTCAGCCACTATGAACAAAAATTAACGGCCTCCGATTAACAGAAACTCGCTTAGAAATGAACAATTCTCGCCTTCCCCTCCTGCCTCAAATCATAGATATCACAAACCACAGCGGGTCGAATCAAAGAAGCACGTCCGCTTCCTCTACTCGTAAAACCCCGAAACCAAAAGGAATTCTCAGCACACCAAACGAAAAGAGGGACTTGTACCATGTAGAGCAATACAAAGCCGACTTTTCAAGTGCCTGCTTATTTGCTTCAAATTTTAGTCCATTAGGTCACTAGGTCTCCTTTCAAACATCCACAATATTGTCACCCATAGCTCACGCACATCGATGATGTCGGCTGGAGATTGTCAATCACATGGCACTCGGCTCTCCCCTCTTGGATAATCAGCAATAGCACTCCTACAGCCAATGTCCAGTCCGGTTTGAAGGGACGTCTCCTTCAACACGATCCACCTAAACTCAATCACTTCTGACGAGCTCAGTTTGACAAAATGAAACTTCCTTCGACAAGGAACTTTGGTCATACTTCGGTCTCCCACGATCCAACCAAGTCAATATCCAATACCAATATTGCATCGTCAAAAGCAAACCCGCGTTCCACCTCTCGACGACGACAAGGTCCCTATCTTAACTGCCTTTCATTGCGACTTATGCCCTCAATAGCTACGATGACATTCCCCACAAAGCAACTCCACTTAGCCACTCACCTCCGCAATCAATGACCACTGCTCGCAACTCCCACTCTAAGTAATCAACCTCACTACTACGTTGACGGCCAAACAACACCTCTCCCATACCCTACCCCTGTCCTGTCAGGACCATACCTGAAATCCGGTCCCTGAACTTCTCCACCACCACCGATCCCTACTTCCAAACAATCCGCACCTACACAACACTCAACCTTCCACCGAACCTCGCACCAAACCGCAACTCCACCAGAGCTCTCTCTTCAAAGGCCGCCCTTCGTCTCCTTCACACCATAACAACACAAACCCTTCTTCCGTGAAAGATCCCCCAAACTAAACCTCCTTCCCACACCAAAGAGGACCTATCCTCCCCCCGTGGAGCACCATTGACTTCTCTACGAATCCGCCTCTAAAGGCCACAAAAAACGGCAACGGACTAAAGCTGAGAGAGTAGTACACAAGGGGAATGAGAGACAGACAGATGAGGTGGAGAGGATAGATTAGAGCTCCTGCTCTGGCTCTGTCCGCAAGAATCATAGTAAGCTCAGAAAATCGCATGCTGTAGTAAGTAAGCCTGGCATTTGTGCACCTGCCTTGCTTGAGCAAGAAGGGGTTTGGGGGAGGGGAGAGAGTGGACGGTACTGTGCGACAACAACCGGCAGTGGAGGAGGTGAGTATGGAAGACAGTTCTGGCACGGCTACTCGCCAGTTCTGCCACCCGGTTATCAGAGCCCCCTCTCCTGTAAGACCGTTCCAGTACAGATTCTGACCTGCTTGCCTGCCTGCCTGCCTCCTGCTCTCCCTTCCCCTTCTACCCCCCTTTGTCCAAATTTCAAACTGGACCCTAGCAACACCCTCTCTCGCACGCCCTCCTACCTGGCTGAATCTTATCTTGCTGTCTCACTGTTGCCTATTTCTGCAAACCCCACTATCCCATGTAATTTTTTATAGAACTCTTTCAAAAATAGCATCATATGCTCTGTATGGATCACCACTTTTTCTTGCATTTCCTATTTACTGAACCAGTTTTATCCTCCAACATCGATATTCATGCAGTAGTTTCTAAACTTAAACCATCTCTGTAGCTATATTCATAAATAAGTGTATTTCTCTATATCGGTAAAACGTGCTTCGTAAAATAATTAACTAGCTAGAACAAGTATTACGTGCATCATGGTTTATGGAAAATTACGCTTGTTCAAAATCTCGATTCATAAATGATTATTTTATTATTATTATTATTATTATTATTATATACAGTTTTTTTATTGACTGAGGGATATTCTGCCTCGATGCATGTTGACATTGTTAGTGGCACCATAGTTTGGTTTTCTTATCTTATTTGTCCAGTGGATAACATGTGCACCTGTACACTATTACACCACTTATCTAATACATAAGAATGTTGTGTGGAATCATTTGTTTGTTTGTGTGTTTGATTTTTTGTCCCTCCCTTTTCTTTCTTTTTTCATTTTTTCATTTTTTTCCCCAATTAAAATAAGACGGCTTTAGAAAAATCATTGATCTTGAGTTGTGTTAAAGTCTTCATGCATTGTTGTTGTTTTCTATTCTCTTTTATTTTATTTTGATATTAATCCTATTTAAATTCAAATCGTGGATTGAAATTTCTAATTATTGTACTCTTACCTTTTGGAGGGGATGAAGGTTATGGAAAACATGAATACCATCAAATTCTTCACAACCAACTAGTTAGACTTTGGTGAAGAAATACTGAAGCATGGCAACACTTTTGATGCTTTAGATTCCAAACATTGGATCCATGCTTAGAGTATCATAATGTCAGGTGAGCATAAAAATTTCGCCCCAAAAAACTGAAAATCACAAAAATTACAAAAAGAAAAAAATAGAGGCAAGCAATACAAGCTGGAAATTACAGATTGTTTTTTGAAAAGCAAAACTTTGGTGTCGAAGGGGTTGAGATATTTTATTCTACTTCTATTTTGTCCAATATTAGTTCACCCAGCACTTGAGTGAAAAGCAAAAATAAATAAAGGAAAACATAAATGCAGATCCAGAAAAGAGAATGTTGAACAGTCCAGGATCCACAAGGGAGAGCCCTACCTAATGTATGTCTGGCGACAACACAGGGCTTGCAATTGATTTCAGATACGGGAGGTCCTATTACTTTTGGCAGAGCCCACACACACACTTGAAAGAATGTCTGCACCTTATTACTTTAACTCTTTTGTATCCTCATCTTTTTCCCCTTCAAGTAATCCTCTTTTTCAGACGCAGCTCTTAACTGATGGCCCCTCTTCACAAAGTAAAAGGAGGGGAATGGTGTGGAAGCCAAGCTGGCGCTATGACCTGGCCACCACCCATCTGATAAGTCAACCTATGGGGTGGGTCGTTCATGGGAAAGTGCGAAAGAATAGATATTGTTTTCTCACCAACATGGTGCTCTTTCAGACTAAATTTGGGTCCTCAAACCCCCTTTTTCCAGTGCTGGAGTGTGAGTGAGTGAGTGCGTGAGAAGGTGTGTGCCCCAAGTTCAAATTTGGAAACAGATTCATGAATCCAAATGGATTTATGTTGGGGGGCACAGGGATGGTTGGAGGGAGGGAGTTGCTTATGGGTCCCTACCTGCCTGCCTACCTACCTACCTCCCTCTTCAGTCCAGCCTAGGAGAGGTCCTTTGAAAGAAAGAACCCCCCCAGTGCCCTACTCCTCTCTCATTCTATCTATCCATATATCTCATCGTAGTCCCACACACTCCCACTCAGCCAATTTTAAAAGAGTTTGATGTTTGTTTCGATTGTTTATTAGAATCCGGATCTTGTGGTGTGAGTACATACAAGAAGGGGGGGGGGGAGGGGTATGTATGCTGGTGCTGCTGTGTGAAAGGGGACCATGGCACTGGACTGTGGATCCATTGGAGAAGAGAGGACCTGGACTCTGTGGCTATTCCATCTGACCTCTCACTCTCAGTTGTGGAGAATGAATGCTGCAGAAGTTTCTTTCACCTTGGAATCTGAGTATGTGACTTTGCAGCGCCCAGTGCAAGTTTGATTGTTTATTTTGTTTTCTTTTGTTTTTGTTGTGTAAGTATGTGTGTATAAGTATAGAGAGTTGCTAAAGCAATACCCCTATGTTGTTAATGCAACATCCCCTTGATTCTCATGATAATCAATCTATCTTTTGTCCTTGTCCCCACTCATCAATGCCCCATTCATGTTTCCAATAGGTGTCTTCTCTTTCTGTTCCCATTTTATTGAAAATAATAAACAACTTTTAAAACAATTCATGTTTCTTACTTGGAAAACTAACCTTGAACACCAAAGCCTTTACCCATGGATTTTACAAATGATGTCTATTTCAAAGGACTTACACATTATATAATTTAGTTAGAAATTTTTAGATTTTACTAGTATACAAAACACAATGAAGTAATCCAACAATGTTTAAATTAAAACAAAATACTTTACCTTTTAATTGCAATTAGAAGATTGCAATGCAACATTAATAAAGTTTTAGTCACAAAATAACTTTACAAAAAAACATTTTTGTGTCAAAGTTATTGTTACCATTTACAATGATAAGGAAAAAGAATGGCAAACATGCATTAGGAATGGAGACAAGGGTTAGGAACAAATATGAGAGACAATAAATGAGGATGTGAGGGGTTGAGAACTAGAAACAAGGATAGAAAGATTAGGGATTAAGAACATGGATGGGAGGATCATGGACTGGGAACTAGGATGGAAGGATTGAAGACTGTAAACTTAGATGAGAGGGATTAGGAATGGATACATAGACTAGATTGAATTAATCATGAGAATCCAAGAAGATGTCATATTAACAACATGTGGAAATTGATTTGGCAACTGCCACATGTGTGTATGTATATGTATAATATATATTATGAAAAAATTAAAATCTATTTTTTTAATATCATTCTATAAAAAAAAGTTTTTATTTTTAAAAATTGTGGCATTAGGTTTTTCTTTTGGCATTAGGGTAGGTTAAGAAATATAAAATTTATATACATTCACTTATTGCATCTAATATATTAAGTCTAAGCTATCTTTTATGTATGGTCACTCAAATAAAAAAAGATTGGTACTATTCTTTTAATTTGAGTGTTTTTTATTACTTATTTATTATTTTATTATTATTTGAAATTTATAGTTATATAGTCAAATATTCTTATTCTTATTCATTATTTAATAATATATTTGTGATTCATAAAAAATATGTATATATAGCATTTATATATATATATATATATATATATATATATTTATTTATTTATTTTTATAAAGAATATGTCATTATTTTATCTCCAAATGGTTGAAAAAAAAATTATAATAATAATACTTTCTTAAGGGCCACAAATCTCTTATTTGATTAAAGTCTTTTCTAGACATTATTTATTTTAAGTTTTGATTAAGCCATAGTTTATATTTAAACCATCAATTATTTAAATTCTATAAAATAATTTTTATCTATTCTAAAATGAATTTAGCCATTGAAGATTGCAAAAATATATTTAGTACTTTATCTATTATTGTATTATATTTTCGTAGTTGTATATCCAAGATTCTATATGAAACATTTGTAAGAGAGAAAAAAACACATCAGAGAATATATTGTATTTGTTGCCCTTACTTAAAGATATATGTGTGGATTAAAGTGTCATTCTATAGTATAATTTAAAAAATATTTATAAATTTCAATTAGACATATCTCTTTAATATACATATTTTTTTCATTACTTTGCTAATCTAATTAATCTTTGAATTAATGAAAAAAAATAATCTACATGATATTTTTGGTACTTAATGTAGAAACTTAAAAAAAAAATAAAATATATCAATTATAATTGTAGTTGTAGTTTTAATTTGATTTTTTGTATTAAATCTAAATTCCTTAAGCCTTGTTATAAAAACTTGTCAAATGTAAAGTTAGATATATATATATATATATATATATTTATAAATTAATAAAATTTATAAAATATTAATAAAATATTTAATTAAAAACAAAAAAAATCAAGTTTTCTTAAATCTTTTTTGATAAACTTTATGAAAATAGATTCTAATAGATTAGATAAAAAAATAAATAATAATGACTTAGATTATGAACTTAATAGTAGTATATATTAAAATATAAGGAAGATATCTACAATTTCATTAATTTATCTCTAAAGTCTTGTTTCTTTCATACTTTACTAATTCTATTCTATTTAACTATAATTAATTAATAAATTATTTGATATTTATTTATTTTAACTTATCTATCTTGATAATATATATTTTTGTTTGTCTCTAAGTTTATTTGTTTTATAATTATATTTTCAATCTTTTATATATTTTTAAATATAATTTTTTGTTAATATTTTTATATAATATATATATATATATATATATATATATTGGTTTTATTGACTAAATATTACATATATTTAGCATATATTATACCGAATTGATATTCAAGGCTAATTTTCAGTAGATAGTTTATTTTTATTCCAATTATAAAGATATTAGATTATGATACGCTAAAATTACAAAAGAAATAATTATAACTTATCAAGCTTAC